GTTAGAATAATAGACACTCTTTGCAGGCTTTGTGACAAATAACACAAATGGCCATCACAGACAAGATAATAAATAACTTTGGCTGTGGTATTTAATTCCATATTGCTTTTTAGAAGAAAATTTCTTTTGACTTTATATAATACACACCTGCATACACTGCTTCTCTCATCACTACAACTCAAGTTATTAAACTTTCAAAATCTATAGCTGGGCATTATGAAGTATGTGTATATCTTTGTATATAAGAATATACTCATATAAAGGACAAGCCTCAAAGCAAATAAAAGTTCAACAAATTCTGAGAGTCCCAAGAGAATGTTTTGTTTTATGTCTCAATCATTTTTTTAAGTAACCATGTAATTTTCCTCAACTATCCAGGACATGGTACTTTCTCTTAAATAATCTCATACATAATTTTTCTTCAATCATCTTGGAAGGATTCTCCTTCTTTTTGTTTTAGATAGATAATCTTTTAAAGATAGCAAATGCACTCCTATGTGAATAGAGAAATACAGTGGGAGGGGAGAGCGTTTAAAAAGAAGGAAAAGCCAGAGGCAAAAACAACAGGAAATGAATCAGTGTTCAGTGTTCAGGGGAGCGCAAATATTCGGGTGGGCTGAAGTGCTGAAGCTTGTGCAGGACAGAAGTGGTGAAGACAGGGACACGATGCTGAGAAAGTAGAAAGAGAAGCAGCTATAGAAGCGGTGGAGGCCTGGTCCATCAGGCTATGAGATGTGAAGCTTTGCCCCCAGGCAATGGGTAGAGAATGATGGCTTCTAAGCATGGTGGCTGGTCAGATTAAGATTTAGAGAAATCATTCTCCCATCAGGGTGAAGGATCCACCAGAGGGTAAATAGGACCCTATGCAGAAAGGACCATTTGGGGGCTGGCTTAAAACAATAATGACAAGAATCGACAATAGGGTAGTTAGTCCAAAAGAAAATGAGAGAAAGAGTCTCCAGGACTTAATATTAATCAAATGAGGATGACCACATGTGCTGACTGAAGAGGCCAACTGCTTGCTGATGCCATGAATTGAGACCAGATGCCCAAAATACAGAGATTTGTAGAGAAATGAAGTAGATTAGTGGTTGCTTGAGGCTGGTAGGAGAGATGCAGGGGATGGAGAGACAGGGAATGATAGGTAGCAGATACAAGGTTTCTTCCTGTGGTGATAAAAATCACAGAATCGAACATAGTGATAGATGCGTGCATCTGTGAATATACCAAAAACCACTCAATTGCGCACTTTAAAGTGGGTAAAATTATGTGGCATATGAGTTAAATCTTAATGAACCTGCTTTAAAGAAAAAAAAGAAGTTAAATTGAGTCAAAATGAAAGAAGAAAATAGGCCTGTGGACAACAGCTTCAGCTCCTGTTGAAACATTTTAGAACCATGTAAGCCAATTCTTCGAAATAGATAGCTGGGTAGATAGATAAGCAGATTTTTACATTTCCTACAAGTTCTGTTTCACTGGGAGAACCCTGACTAAAACAGATTTTGGGATTGGGAAGAGGTGCGCTGCTATAATAAATACCTAAAAATGTGGTAATGACTGGAATTGAGTTATGGGTAGAGTCTGAATGAATTTTGACATGCTTGATAGAAAATCCTAGATTACTTAGCAGAGATGATTGGAAATGTGGATGCTAAAGGTAATTCCAGTGAGATCTTAAAAGGAAATGAGGAACATGTTACTGAAACCTAGAGGAAAGATGATCCTTGTTAAAAGTGGCAGAAATTGAACTGTGTCCTACTTTGGAAAAGTAGAACTTGTAAAACATAAACCTGAATATTTAGCTTGAGGACATCTTCAGGAAAAATGTTGAAAGTGCTGCCTTGTTTATCCACATTGCTTACAAAAATAGAAGAAAATCTGGGCATGATGGTGCATGACTGTAATCCCACCACTCTGGAAAGCTGAAGCTGAAGGATAGAAAGTTCAAACCTATGTTGTAAAACTTGGGGGCTTAGTAAGATACTGTCTCAAAAAAAAAAAAAAAAGAAGAATTTAAAAAGGGCTAAGGATTAGCTTAGTGCCAAAGCCCTTGGTTCAATTCTCAGTGCCACCAAAAAGGAAGAAAGGGGAGTGGGTAAGGAAAGGGAAGGGAAAGAAGGAAAGAAGAAAAGGAATCAAGGAAGCAAAAAGTTAAGCAAAAATAAACTAGCTCTTGATGATTTGGTTGGTTCTCAGCCTACCCATACGGAAAAGGATAAAATTTGGAACTCCATTGTCTAGAAAGCCTCTTTGGAAGAGAAAGCCCAGGGTGTAGTTGGATAACCATTTGCTAGAGAAATTAAGGCTGTGACTCATTAATCTCATTAAACATTTTAGGTTAAGCACAAAGGATCTTTAAAGAAACCTCTTACCTATGGTGTGGATCCCTTTACATATATTGAGAGGTCACAAGATATTTGAGAATATTGTATCAGCAGAAACATTACCAGTTTAGACTGAAATAGATTAAGACTGGACAAAATAAGAGAAGTTTACTGAACTCCTAAAACTCTACAAGCAGGAAATGAGCTTACAGTGCTTTTGGGTGCAAACATGTTCAATTCAAGAAATAAAGAATGACTCAGAGTGCCAAACTGCTGTTGACCCAGAGGTTGAGGATAATGGAGCTACTGCCAAGGGCACAAAGCACAATGGAGCTGTCTCGGGACACAAAGGGTGACTGAGCCAGAGCCAGAGTGTAGAGCTACAAGCCACAGAAAGTCATCTTCCTGCCTTGAAATCTGGTGGCATTGGCTCTGCCAGAATTCAAACTTGTTTGGCATGGTTGACTCTTTAATTTCGCCCAGATTTTCTCTTTTGTACAGAGATACCTATACTATAGCCATCCCATCGCTTGTTTTGGAAGAAAACTTGTTTTCTAGGTTCACAGGTCCACACATGGAAAGAAATTTTGTCCTCAGACAGATCATACCCAGAGTTTTGTTTGTACCTGGTTTATATAATAAAACTTTACCAAAAGTTGATGCTTAATGACTTAAGATTTTGGGGAGGGCCGAGGATTTAGCTCAGTGGTTCTGCTGCCTGTCTCGCAAGCATAAGGACCCGAGTTCGATCCTCAGTACCAAAAAAATAGATTTGGGGGAATGGTGAGATAAGACAAATACATTTTGCATGAGAAAAATGAATTGTCCAAGAAGCCAGCAGAGAGTGAGTTATAATGAGTTGAATTGTGGCCTCCCAAAAGATATCTTTACCTAGGACCTGTGAATTTGACAGTGTTTGGAGAAAGGGTCTTTGCTGAGGTACTTAAATCATCTTGAGACAAGATCCTTCTGGATTAGAGCAGGCCTCAAATCCAATAAGAAATTCTTAGAAGTGACAGAGAAACAGACACAGAGATTCAGAGGAAAGGCTGTTCGAGGATAGACAGATGCAGAGTTACACTGCCAGGACCGTAGAGGCGGAAGTCACCAAAAGTTGGAGGCGGTCAGGATCCCCCTGCATCCTGCAGAGGAGCCATGCTCTGCAACAGTTTGACTTCAGACTCCTGCCTCCATAACTGGGCCAGAATAAATTCTATTGCTTTAAGCCACCAAGTCTGAGGTAATTTGTTTCAGCATCCTTAAGAAACTAATAGCCTGGGCAAAAATGAGTTCTGCTGCCAGTCTACACTCTTTCCGAGAGCCGTCAGGCCTCTTTAATCATTCACATCTACATCCCAAATCCAATCCCCTGTCCCAGCCTGGCCTCTTCTTTGTGGATAATTTATTCTCAATTGTCCCCTTGTCCTTTCTTGCAACCAGCTTCAGCAAGAGCCACCCTACGGAGCACACATGATTTCACTACACACATGTGAAGCTCTGTAAAAAGAGGGTGCTCAGGTGCCACTCATTTTCCCCCAGGAGAATACTCCACTCCTCTGTAAACTTACAGATTCGAAAGAGTCCTGTTGGGCAGGATGCACTAGTTCTAGGTGCCAGAGTATTCCAACCCAAATAAATGGATGCAACTTTTCCAAACCCCACAATATCAGAATTCCAAAATACCCTGTTAGATCATTATGAGGGCCTTTAATTATAATTGTGCTTTAATTTATGTTTGACATATTATTAAGATGACTTTTAGAGGCCAGTGGTTTGAGATGTAAACTTCAGATATAGCTCTTGTCTTTTGGGAATTATAATCTAGTTGGAATATTAGGTGTTATCATCATTATTTGCATTTAAATTTATTAATTAATAGGCTAAAATTTACTAGGCATTCTATTAGGCACATACACAGCACACACACACACACACACACAATCATCTTGGTTAGGATCTATCAGAACAGAATATATAGAGGTCTTTGTAGTTTAAAACAGTCATCTTCAACCTTTTTGACACCAGGAACTGGTTTCGTGGAAGATGATTTTCGCATGTGTGGATGGTTTCAGGATGATTCACACATATTACATTTATTGTGCACTTTATTTACATTATTATTATTGCATTATGCACTTTACTTTTATTATTATTACATTAGATTATCCTAAAGAGAGCACAAACTAGATCCCTCATGCGTGCAGTTCACAGTAGGGTTTACACTCCTGTAGGAAGCTAATGCCACTGCTGATCTGACAAGAGGTGGAGATCAAGTAGTAATGCAAGTAGTAGGGAGTGGATGTAAATACAGATGAAGCTTTGCTAACCCACCCACCACTCACCTGCTGTGCAGCCCAGTTCCTAACAAGCCACAGACTGGTAGCAGTCCATGGCCCAAGTGTTGAAGACACCCAGTTTAAAGAATACCTTCTTATCCTTTATCAGTACAAATTTCTTATTATATGGGCATATTGCTTTTCATAAATAGCCTTCCCTTAGAAGCAAAAGAATTAAGGCAATTATTATACATGACACATGGTAATACAGGATCCATTTCATGGATCAGAATTGTGGTTTATTTACCATAGTATTCAACAAAGCTCCCAGGAGACACAACATGAGAAACAGAATTGTCCTCTTGGACTTTAATCTCAGAAATTTGGTACTTAGCCCAGCTTCATTTTAGAGCCATTTATGATTCTGTGACTCATAAACATAAATATTTATTTTTAACTAATATCTGAAATGCTTCAGATAGACTGAATCCTGTAACAGCTGCTCTTCTGAATGTCATTCCATAATGAGAACAATTCCTGAATCGATAGATGATAGTGAGATCCTTTATTTTTCTGATACTAGAGATAGTTCATCTTTTGCTTATGCTTAACAGGTGTATTCTTTAGAGATAATACTTGGCTGTGTATTGCAGGAAAAAAACAAAGAATATTTTAAACAATAGAATTTTATCTCCATTAACCATTAAGCCTGAAAAGAAATCTCCTGGGACAGACCAAGCTACCATGATCGCTCCTCAATATCTTCAGGGTCCAAGTTCATTGTACCTTTCTTCTCAACTCTTCCAAAGCATGGATCCCATTGTCAAGATTTATTCCTTGTTCTAATACAGTTGATCAATTCCCATTATCACATCTCCATGAAGAAAGAAGAATGTTAATCACCGTTCTTTTAAGGAGCCTTCATAGGTCTTGCAAACATCTTATTGGCCACACCAATCTCCAAGCAAGGCTGGGAAATGGTGTTTTCAGCTGAGCCCATTTCAAGGATTTAGTAAGAAACAAAAGGAGAACAGATTTTAGAGAACAATTATCAACCTGTGACACAGCAGGTTCTACACATGCCATAGGTCAAGATCTGAGGAAAGTCAGGCTTAGGGTCTCGGTAATTATGCAAGACATACCTCTCACTGTGACACTATTCATCATCTTCAGTATCCACAATCCAAAAATGTAAAGAAACTCTTCTACTACAGAAATTATAAATCATTTAAATAAAGACAATTCTAATGAACTAAAGGATGTTTATGGTTCAAAGTGCTGTCTTAGGGCCATTTATTTTGGATCTCTCTGTGTTACTAAGACTGGGCTTGGACTCTCAATATTCCAGCCTCAGCCTCCCAAGGAGCTAGAATTTCAGGTCAGCACCACCATGGCCAATGGGCTTTCATAATAATAATAATGGTAAAGCTCCAAAAGTAGTGAAGATCAATAATGAGCCGTCATTCATTGCTGTTTTGAGCCATGTCTGGATGGTTTGTCATGCTGATGGAGTAGCCTGACCAAAAAAAAAATAACTATTTTCAAGGGGTCTGAAGTCCTTAGTGGCAAGGATGGAGATGAGTATGATGGGACTGACCTATGATGACACACGAGACTAGGGATTCTGAAAACAGCGTGTTTGGAACCAAAGTAATCTGTCCCCCAACACTGTTTGGTGGATCCTAAGGAGAAAGAAAGCTATGAGTAAAAATTGATAATCTCTCTCTAAACTAAATAAATTGAACAAACACTGCTTTAGAATCTACTACAGGCAACCTTATTGTAGGAAGGCACCTTCTCCAATCCCACAGCAGCCACTTCAAAGCACTATTGCATTGAAAGCTTGGATGGCCCCTGTATACAACATCCAGTGGTGGAACAATCTAGACAAACATAGTACCTGCTTGGTGCCACTCTGCCAGGCCCAGCGACTTGACTAAACAGGCATGTGACCATTTCAGAGCAGCAAAGAGGCGACTGAGAAGCAGCACAATCGGCTGTACCTGGAAAAGTGAAAATGCTCCAAATGGGGAAGCTACTCTACAGAAGAGTAATGAGGATATCAAGGTAGAAAACTACATGACAAATCCTCTGGGCTGCTGGAAATTGACATAGGGTGAGAGACTGCTGGCAGGACTTTATATGGATCCAAATACTTACATGGTTAGTGGTTCATAGTTGGGATAATTTGAATTATATACATAACTTTCCTGGAAAGAACTATGCCTAGATCAAAACTGAAAAAAAAAGTTAGAAAATACGAAATTGTGATGCAACTCTAAGTATTACTAAGAAAGAGGAATATAGTTTGTGCTGCATAGAAGATATCAAATCTTCTACTCATGTATCATTTACCCACAGGAATATAGTTGGTGAACATCAGAGAATTTACTTACATAACCCTGAACGATGTGGGTCAATCCATTGTCATGGCCTCTTGATACCATCAGGAGATGTGGTAATCTTCAGATATAGGAGACTACGGCTGGTGTAACATGCTGTATTGTTTTACTGTAAATTTAATTTTTATGTGTAAAAGCACACTCTAATGATTAAAGATGTAGTATGGTAAATATGTAAACCATTAGCATAGTCATTTCTTATCAGTATCAAGCATTATGTATAGTACATATTTGTATGTGTTGTATTTTTAGATCACTGGCAGAGCAGTTTATGCTAACATCACCACAAACAAATGAGTAATGTGTTGACACTTGTTGTAACTATGATGTCACTAGAAAATTTTCAGCTCCATTATAGTATAATGGGACCATTGTCATAGATGCAATCCATCATGAATTGAAAGATCTTTGTGCAGTGCATGCTGTAAAAGTATCAAGATATCCTTACTTTAGTCATTCAAAAATTTTTATTAAGTACCTACTATATACTACATGCCAATTGCTACAAATACAATGACGAATCATGAAAATGTAAATTAGATGAAGATGAATGCAATCTGGAGGTAATATCAGATTTAGCTGTAGAAACTAATCATTCAAGTTTGTCCCAAGAGATTCATCACCACATTAAATTTACTATGCTTTTAACAGTATGTTTAGTTACCATAGCACATTGGATAACTGTTCCAATTTTTTCACTTCCTTCTTAAATAATTATATATCAAATAGGCTTTTTCCAGTGACTTTTAGAATTGACCACTAGAAATAACATTTCTATGGCTAGCCATCTCCAAGTATTTTGCATGCTATTATTTTACCTGAGTAGACACTGAGGAGTGGAAATACTAGGTAGCATGCCAAATATATGCATAACTTGTCAAGAGACTATTTTTCTTAAGCCAATATTCAATTTTACATTCCAATTAGCATTGTATAAGACTTTCAGTTTGTCCATATCCTTACCCAAATATGATATTATCAGGCATTTTATGTTCATCCATGTTCATTAGGAATAATTTCTTGTAGTTAAGATTTCTTGTGATACTTCCGTCTGCCTTTGATATTCACTATACTGACAAGATGGGATGTGTTCTCATCTTCTTTTCTGAAAACATTTGCATAGGATTGTTATTATTTCTTCTCTGAATGACAAAACTTACTATGATGCCATCTAGGCCGGGGTATTCACTGTAGGAAGATTTTAAATTATTAATTCTGATCTATTTATATTTCTTCTGGAGATCATTTTGGCAATTTGTATCCTTCCAGATTATTAACCATTTCATCTAAATTGTCTAGTTTGTTGGCATAAAGTTGCTCATAATAGTTCTCTATAATCCTTTTAATTTCTGTGTGTTTTGTCTTTTATTCTACATTTTATTAATCTGCCTCTCTCCTTTTATAATCTCTCTTTCTTACCCCTCCCTTTTTCTCTCTCCCTCTTCCTCTCACTCTGCCTTCCTCGCTCTTTTTCTCCTTTGTAAATATAACTGAATGTTTATCAATTTTGTCACTCTTTCAAAAGAATCAACTTTTGTTCTTGTGACTTTTATCTATGGTTTATCTGAATTCTATTTTATTTGTTTCTCCTCTTGTCTTATTATTTCCTTCTTTCTGTTTATTTGAGGTTTGATTTGCTGTTGTCTAGCTTCTTGAAGTAGAAACTTGATCATTTCTCTCCAAATTATTTCCTTTGTAATATAAGCATTTAAAATTATAAATTCCAGCCAGGCATGGTGGTGCATGCCTATAATCCTAGCACTCAGAAAGCCAAGGCAGAAGCATCATTGTGAGTTGGAGACCAGCTTGGGGTAATAGTAAGTTCAAGGCCAGCCTAGACTGCATAGTGAGTCCCTGTGTTAAAAAGAAATCACTTACTCAAGCAATAAAAAAGTTGTAAGTTCCCCTCTAAGCATTGATTTTACTATATCTTATGCATTTTGATGAGTTGGGTTTTAATTTTTATTCAGTTGAGCATATTTTCTGTTGATTTTCATTTTTGACTCATTTTTCAAAAAGCATGTTGGTGAAATTTTAAACATTTGGGCAATCCTAAATAGCTTTGTGTTATTGGTTTCTTTTCTTCCTTTCTTCCTTTCCTTTTACAGCTAGAAAACATACTTTGAGACTAGGTTTATGGGTCATAATATATAGTAGACAATCCCTCCTATACACTTGAAAAAAATGTGTATTCTGTTTTTGGATGGACCATTCTATATGTTATTTTGTCAATTGGTTGGTAGTGTTGTCCATGTCTTGAGTATTGTTACTGATATTCTGTCTAGTTCTTCTATCAATTAGTAAGAGAAGAATATAGAAATTTCCAACTAATGCAATATCGAATTTGCTATCCTTTAATTCTATCAGTATTCTGGGATTTTGCTATTAGTGTTTATGCATTTATAATTGATTTTCTTCCTAATGTACTGAAAACTTTAACATATGAATTTTTTCTCTTTTCCTCCAGTGTTTTTTGTCTTGAAGTACATTTTTGTAATAAAAATTTATTTTTTGTGTTAGCAAAGCAATCCTGCTCATTAATAGTTATGATTTACTTTTTCAGTTCTTTTACTGCAACAGATTTGTGTTATTAAATACAAAGCATGTCTTTTTGGTAGCATGTAGCTGGATCTTAGTTTTTCTTCTGTTAGTATTTTAACTATATTTTAAATTTTATTTTTGTAATAGTTTGGCTAAAGATTATATGTCATTAATTTATGATAATCTGATTCATTATGATAATAAAAATCAATAATTTTGCTGCAATATATTTCCACTTTCCCCTCTCACTTTAGTGCTGGTATCATCATACATACTGCATCTGTGCATGCAATACACCCACCAAAACATGACATTATAATTACTGCTTCAATTAGTCTTTGTCTTTAGGGAAACTAAGAGAAGAGAAAATAATGGGCAATCTTTTACATTTACCCATAAATTTAACATTTTTATTACTTCCAGTTCCTTCCTGTGGAGTTAAGTTACTATCCTGCCTCATTTCCTTTCAGTCTGAAGGACTGTGTTTAGATTTAGATTTCTTGTAGGGCAGATCCATTTTTGTTTATCTAAGGAAATCTCTTTTACCTTCAGTTTTATTTTTCATTTTTATTGGTATTTGTTGATGATGAATAATAATTACATTCACTTTGGGGAACTGGGACATTATATATCACATCTTAATCATTTCTATTTACCCTTCCTCTTCCCATTCTCCTTTTTCTTCTCTTCCCAGATCCCCTTCCATCTCCACAAAGTCAACCTCCTTGTTTCCTATCATCCCTTTTATCTTGCTCTTTAAATTATCTATACTTTGAGTTTCTCATGTAAGAGAAAATACATGCTATTTAACCTTCTGTCTGATTTATTTCACCTGACATTTTCAAGATCCATCCATTTTCCTATGAATGACTCAAATTTACCCTTTTTTATAGCTTTATAGCTTTATAACAGTACTCCATCGTGTATATATACACCACATTCCCTCAATCCATGCACTTTTTGATGGGCTTATAACTGTTTCCCTAATTTAGCTATTATAAATTGGGCTGCTATGAACATGGGCATGCATGTATCACTGTAATATGATGTCTTTAAATCTTGGAGAAGATACTCCAAAGAGGTATAGCTAGATCAAATGGAATTTCTATTTTTAGTTTTTTTGTGAAATCACCATACTGGCTGTGCTAGTTTACATTCCCATCAACAGTGTAGAAAAGTTCCTTTTTGCCACAGATTTGCCAACATTTGTTGTCTTCTGAGTTTTTGATGATGGCCATTCTTTCTGGAGCAAGATGGAATCTCAGTGCTGTTTTGATTTGGATGTCTCTAATGACTATAGATGCCCAACATTTTTTCATGTACTTATTGCCCATTTGTACTTCTTTTGACAAGTGGCCACGCATTTCAATTGTCCATTTTTTTACTGAATGTTTTATTTTTATGGTTCTAATTTTTTAAAATTATTTATATATTCTGGATATTAGTCTTGTGTCCAAGGTGTAACTAAAAAAATAATTTTCCCATTTATAGTTGGTCTCTTTCTTCACTCTGCTAGCTGTTTCTTTTGCCTTTTAATTTGATATAATCCCTTTTGTTGGTTCCTGGTATTATTTCTTATGTAACAGGGAGTCTAGAAGAGTCCTTGCCTATGACTGACTATGACTTCAAGGGTTTTACCTATTTTATCTTTCAGCAGATTCAGCATTTCTGTTTTTATATCTAGATCTTTTATCCAGTATGATTTGATTTTTAAAAGATCATACATCATGGCCAAGTTTTTATTATAATGGGTCTAGGAATGGGTACCTTCATGCTTATCCTACTTATTTTTATTGATCTTTCTACATATGAAAATTGAAGTTTTTCAGGAAATTTGGGGAGTTTGTAGCTATTAATATTTTTTTTCTTTTTTGTTGGTCTGTTTCTTTGTTTTTTTGAGACAGGATCTCTCTGTGTAGTTCAGGCTGCCCTTGTACTCACTGTGTAACCCAAGCTGGCCTCAAACTCATAACAATCCTCCTTCTTCAGCCTCCTGAGTGCTGGGATTATGGGCATGCACCACCACACCCGGCTTATAGCTATTGATTCTTTTTTTTTTTTGATACCAGGGATCAAACTTGAGACCTTGTGCTTGCAAGGCAGGCAGCAGAACCACTGAGCTAAATCTCCAGCCCCATTAATTCTTAAATATTTATCCCCCTTCTTTCTACCCATTGTTCTCGGACTTCTCATTACAAGACTGTAGGTAGCTTTAACATTATCCTATAGGACTTTGAGTCTCTTCATTTTCCCATAATCTTATTTTCTTTTTGTACTTCAGATTGGATGATTTCTATTTATCATCTTCAAGTACACTGATTGCTTCTCTTGCCTTCTCAAATTTTCTGTTAAACCCATCTAGTAAAATTTCTGTTTTGATTATTGTATTTTCCAAATCTAGAATTTTCTTGGTCTCTTTTTAAATAGTTGCTATTCTCTATTTATATATCCTATCCATTGAATCATTATCACCATGTTTTCTTTCACTCCTTTGAACATGGTTTCTTTCAATTCAAATTTATTTAGAATAGACGCTTTAGTGTTTTTCTCTGAAAAATTCAAAATTTGCCCACTTAGATTCAGTTTCTTTTATTTGTTTTCCTGAAAAAAAAATATATTTATCACCTTCCTTGTTTTTTTTCAAGTTTCATATTTGTATTGAAAACTGTTATGTAGCATATTTTAGCAATTTAGAGATTTCTTTATTTATTGCTTTATTTTTTGAAGGCCTTTCTTGCAACTTTGATGAACTTAAACTGAAAAATTTGTCTCCTACATTGGATACAGCTGCTCATATTTTTGCTCAGGTATGAAATTGTGTCTTTTAAATTATTTTCAACCTGCCATATTAGAGTTCACTCACATGTCACTAATACCTCAGCAATAGTTAGCTCATGATTTAGGCAGAGGTTTACTTAAGCACCTCAAACCCAAAAGCACTTCCATACTTTGCCAATCAATCTGTTTGTATATTAGGAAATATATTCAAAGCTCAGTGAGTTCTCAAGTATGCTTTGGCATTTACTTTCTGCTAAATTCTTTTTTGAGCCCCCATGCATATGGATAGTTCATAGTTTCCCACCTGGCCAGAAATGTGTGGAAAAATTCTTGAGCCTTTTTATGTCTCTCTCTTTTCTAAGATCTCTCTGTTATGTTATTGGGTGGTCCACCATTTCCTCAACTAGAAATGGAACCCAAGCTACCAAAGCCCGGATTTTACATTTGTTTTGACTGAGTTTGCCACTTTTATACAAAGAACTTAGGGGTTTTCCTGCCAAGTTGAGTCTTGCTTCTGAGGAAGTAAACCTACTTATATTCATAGCCAGTGCTACTATGGTAAAACCATAGCTTCACCAACCAGCCTGAGTAAGGGAGCAGCCTCAAGTAAAAAAGACACATTCCCACAATTCTTACTCAAACTCCTCCTTGTCATTTTTCAAGAGTATTTTGCAATTATTATCTACCTTTGGTCAATTTCCATACCCCTGAAATGTTTATTATTGAAAATTTTGTTCAGTTTTATATTTGACTTTTTGCAGAAAAGATTCACTAACTTCTTCACAA